ACGCCTCTTTGGTTGTGATCTAAACCTGTTTGATGTGTTTGGTTGTGGAGGTCGACGACGTTTTCTCGTATAATTAGGTCGGGGATGGGGTAATCCTATTGGTAAGCACACAGCTATACAGCATACCTGTGATACCTGTGCAAACTTTTGTGAGCGCTCATACCTTTTCGTTAACGAATACCATTGTAAAAGAACTGACAACCAGTCCTATCCTATGCCAGACCTGCCAGTCCTGCCAGTCCTGCCAGTCCTATGTCAGTGCCGATGCAATAAGACTGAGCCTCGAGTCTCGAAATTCCTTTCATTTTGTTTTTCTCCTCACAAACGCCGAAACCATTCAAATTGAATTCATATTCAACACTAAATTGCCATTTATTTGTTCAGTGTTTAGTCGTATTGTAGGCAATCGTTGTAGCGATACATCAGATCCCATGTTCTTATAAGTGATTCAATTTAATAAACATATCTTCACAACGTTTTCCTTTTAGTTTCATCTTTTATTCACTAATTTCAATGAGGTTTGTCATCCGTATAATTACTTACATTTATTCACTATTATAATTTGTATTACACTATATCTACAGTACATTGTTGTCTACAATTATATGTACTTAAGTCTTAACACTTTGAATACTTTCTAAAACATCAACCAAAATGTAATCTGATTCAAATGTCATATAATATGTAATTATAATTTATTCAGATTAATATTAAATAGATAGTAAGTTATCAATCGCTTTCATCAAATAATTTATTTTAATATAATTTATAAGTTTAAATAGAAATTAATTGATTTGTGGTAACTATACTATAAATATACTGTATAATGAGGTGTTAATAAATGTATTATATTACCTAATATGATATATTGCCGTTTATTAATCTTGTTATGATACGTGAAACTTTACATTTTACGTTCATTCATTTCATACTGAATTAATGCAGTCATGTTGTCTTATTTATAAACAACATTTACGTGCAATTAAAAGTATTTTATAAAATAACATTTTCAGTTATCATATTTTAATATTTGCTTAAAATGTGCTTGCTAATACCAAACAAATGTGAACTGTTGTTTTTAATGGAATAAATATAAGAAAAATTAAAGCATTGTAAACCCGTTTATTATTTATATCGATATGAGAAATCATTTAATCTGTAGGATGGTTGTTAAATCGTTGCTAAAAAATTAACATTTTATGAATCATAGTTATTGCCAAAGTAATGATATAATCATTGATGAACTAGCAATTCAAGTCAAAACTGACTTGTGAGACAACGATCACTATTACAAAATATTAAGTTACAAATTATGATGTTCAAATAATAATTATTCAAATAAGATAGCATAAGAACATTTAATCAATGTCTAATAATCAGCTAAAATGTTAATTAGGATCTGTTAATAACTTTAGGGGTTTTATTGCTATGACAGGAATGTTACGATTATATTACTTAATAAATTTGTAAAAAATATCAAATATAATTAAATGTATTAAAAACGTACTAGTATTATTTTAGATTATACTATACTAGTAAAGTAGCAATTGTTTAGAGTATTTGTTTTTAAATTACTTTCAATGACTTACTGTAAGTGGGTAGAATTTTGGGCAATTTAAATATATCATAGACATGATTGCATTATGATATCTAAGTCTACACTGTAGACTCTACAGTACAAATATGTACTGTATGTTGAGATGTATAAACCGAATAAAGAAATCATGTTCATGATATGCAGTTTATCAAGATAGAGTAAGTTATATTAAGTTGTCTATGGTCAATCTATTATGGTAGAAATTGGCTATATTATAACACAAATGGATTTATGATTGACAGAATTTTCACTTTTTAAACATAACATTTTATTTCAGACATATTTATAACATGTATTTGAAATTTCTTTAAGCAAAAAATTTTTGTAAAACCAGACAAACAAATAGAAATGACAAAAACTACAGTAATGTGTTTAACAATAAATATACGTTTGATTGAAGATATAAACTGGTAATCAAACAAATATTGAAAAACTCTGAATTGAGCTCTTCATGAGAATATGTTTGGACTGGTTCAATTTAATAGTGTATAAAAATAAATAACTGTTAGACTTTTACAATAGTATACAATAGATTTTCTCACAATATATTCACTATTAATCTATTGAAAAACTATAAAAGTTCAATCGTGACCCTTGACCCTTTGTAAAATATGTTTTTAACGTTTCTCACTACATTTTAGTTATCAATAGCTAAAACTCAAATGATTAAAAAACAATTAAAATGCTATTCACATGATATAAGACAATAGATTGTTGACCAAAGAATTAATTAACTTATATTTAATAAGCATATGAGTTGAAAGTGAACTTAATCTGAAGTTCATAAAAGTAATCGTGTCAAAACGTGAATTAAAGCTCCATTTATTCAATTGTTAACTAAACTGAATTTTAAAAGCGATAGTTATCTGATTTTGTAAAAAAACATAAGTTATTTTCATAACATATCATACACCCTGAGTCTCCGAGCGTTTATGAGATACGGAATGTCGCCTCCTTTACCAAAATTATTGAGGCTTCTAGAAGTGCGCACCAGATATTATAGACAGAATCTGAACGCAGACTTCAGTGAATCGGCTCTTGGAGTGAATAAGAGTTCCAATTCTGAGCGCCCTTTCGGCAACTTTCAGCTCAAGGAGACGACAGTGAATAATATCCTGAATCACCCGAAATATGGGCCCCGATTCAAGAACCAGGACGCATACACTTACCTCAGGTTTGGTTTACCTCGCGTTAAGGCCACTCAGAGTGAGATCGGAGCCGTGAAACGGGCTGACGGTATAACCAGCGCTTCGGGTACTCATCAAATCAATGGTCACATCCGGACTAATCATCACATGAATACTGATTCAAGCAATGCATCAGATTCTCCATATATGGATAGGAAGGAGAGAAAGAGGATCTGGAAAAGTGATCCAGATCTCCTCAGAACTCATACCGAATCAGCTCTTATGACATCTCATTACGAGCGCAATCATAAACACCATCCAAGACCTGAATCCAAACACATTACGAGTCAGTCATTGCTTTCGGGGAACAATATATCTAAGAGTGAAACAGATCTGCGATTTAATAAGAGTAATGGTGTGAAGAACGATGGCTTCTCTATGTCTAAGTTGGATATGACGGGTGGTATGCCTGCCAAACACCCGCACCTAATCGTAAGGAACCTGTACTATGAAGTGGACAAGTCGTCCACCTGGAGAACCCTTTGTGGGGTTCGGCGACAGAAACTGAAAGTTTTGAATGACATTAGCTTTGATGTGAGAGCCGGAGAGATGTTAGCGTTGATGACAACTAGTGGTGAGTTTGCATTTAGTCGTCCACCTGGAGAACCCTTTGTGGGGTTCGGCGACAGAAACTGAAAGTTTTGAATGACATTAGCTTTGATGTGAGAGCCGGAGAGATGTTAGCGTTGATGACAACTAGTGGTGAGTTTGCATTTTGTTTGAACTTAATTTGCTTTTTATGCTAACATCCCTTTCCACAAGTGGTCACTTAATATGTTCTGAATATGAAATGTGAAAATGTTTAATAAATTAGAAATTTCCGCAACTTTTATGTGAACTCATTTCCGAATGAATTAACATTTTTGGTGTCATATTCTTAAGGGTTCTCTCATTGAGTTCATAGCCGTTGACTGCACTCTACTATTGCTTTACCATTACAACCATTTTTGCTTTTATATTAATCATGCTCTTACGTTGAAAACCATTATTATTTTATTTATATTAAACGAAATCTATTATAAATTAATTATGTTTAATATGAAAAACAAATAAAATAGCAAAACTCAATTTTCAAAACGTTTTATAAATATCTGGCTTAAGGCATATATAATCATATTTTCGTTTTGAAAGGATTTATAAATGGATTTTCAGACAACAATTTCTAATCAAAATAAATATATATAAAGTTTATGGCACACTTAGCATACATTCATTTCCAATTGATTATAGTTATGATTGTTTATAATTTAGGATATGATTTATATTTTATTTCAACGCTTCACTTAATTGCATACATCGGCCCTAATGTGAGAAATTTGATTGTTTTTGTGGTTTAAATGAAACTAACTTTGAATTTAGATTCTGTTCTCACATAAATTTATAATAAGCCATATCACTTTTATAAATAACTAATTAACCAAATTTTATGCAATTAAATTTCAATCTATTTATTAAAATTTATATACATTAAATATTTATATTCATGTATACATATAAATTTAAATTACATTTATTTTTAAAAACTAGGCAATTACTTTTAATAGTATAGTCTGTTAAGTTTTTACACTCATTTAAAATGTAAATCTCACGTTAAATGAATAAAACATTTTAAATAAAAATAATTTAATTGACATTATAATAAATATAAGAGAAATGAATTTTCAATAATTTAAAAATGAGATTAAATTAAAAAATCTAATTTCTAAAATTAAAAATAAGAAACAGATATACTGTAGAGTGTGTTGTAATGAATTTAGTTTTAAACGCCTTTTATATCTTACTTTTTAGTGAACGCCAAAGATATTTGATTTTTGGAAAGATTTAAAAGAATGAAACTTTTTGTTTTAATTAAATTGGGAATAATTCTTATTATTTCATTCACTCTTAGCCTACATATGAATGTCACAATTGTGTCACACATTGTAATAGTTGTCGACTCTTGTATTTCATTGAAACTAATTTCCAAATATTTTAATTAAGTTATAATTTATGCTACATTCCAATTACTCCCATACCGGCCCACCCATCTATTAAATATATCCTAAATTGATATTTAACTGCAGATATGTTATTGTGTATTGATTTGCAATTTATTTATTTAGAGCTGAAAACCTTATAAACATTTTATATAAAACCGATTCTTGTTTTGCATGAAAATGATTACAGAATCAGAGGGAACGGCAGTATTGGATATCCTATCGAATCGTTACGACAAAATGAAAGGCAAAGTGAAGGCAGACTTGATTCTGAACGGCGTTATAGTGAACAGCGAAAGACTCTCACAATTATTAGCGTATGTGAGTCAAGACACAGCTCTGTGCCCCGACATGTCGACCCGTCAGGCATTACTTTTCACATCTTTAGTTCAAAGACCGGCAAAAAAGAGTTCGTTTGACACTAAAAAGCGAACCAATGCTTTGCTCGAGGAGTTAGGGCTGAGCGAAGTCCGTCACACCTGTATTAGTGATCTGACAGATGCTGAGAAAAAGCGTTTACTCATTGCTATTAACCTATTGCTAGACACAGATATTCTACTCCTGGATCAGCCCACCAAAGGAATGGATATATTTGACACTTTCTTTTTAGTCGAGTATCTCAGACAATGGGCTCTCATTAGTGGCAGATGTGTTATCATGACTATCAGTCCCTCCACTTACGAGATCTTTACAATGCTTTCGAGAATTGCTTTGATATCCTCGGGAAGAGTAGTATATTTCGGCAAAAGAAGTGATTTGTTGACATATTTCGCACAAATAGACTTTCCGTGTCCGGCATTTAAGAATCCGAGTGACTATTATCTAGATTTAGTCACTCTCGATAATCTCAGTTCAGAAGCAATGCTAGAATCGAGTCAAAGAATCGAGAGTTTAGTGGAACTGTATTCTCGTAGACATAATAGCGCCATATCAGCACCCGGTCCACCATCCATAACACCACCACCCGTTCAAAGGGCAAACATTTTCATACAATTTCTGGCTCTTTGGATGTGAGTTGCAATCAATAGATTGATGAAACAATTACTAAAATAAATATACCATGATACCATGATACTAATAATGATACTATGAATTTAACCTCAATATAGACGAGCTATGATTTTCACGTTTCCTTATAATGTGATACATATGTTCTTCAAACTGTTGGTCGCATTATGTCTGTCAGTGATGTGTGGAGTTATATATTGGCACGTAAGGAGTGGTAGGGAACAGGAGTATATCTGGGACCGCATCGGTTTCTATCACGCGATCCTCACTATATTTACCATACCTTTGCTATTAATCGAAATCAAAGACGGTAAAAGTTCAACGACTTTTCACTAATACTGTATTTATTTATCTAATTATCGATATATTCATTGTATTTATAGTTCATAAGGAGAAGCAATATGTGTTAAATGAAGTGAAACTGCAATTCTATGGCAAATCATCGTATCTGATATCCAAACTGATCTACTCTTTACCTCAAGCTCTCATAGTTTTTATAGCCTTTTCACTGCCGGCCTGTTCTATGGCTGGACTCCAACAAAATCTCTCCATTTATTTGCTGTTAATGTTATCCTATTTATTAACACTAAGAATGATTGCCATCTCTATTGTCTGGACATTCAATAAGCGGTCGACCAGTGCTGTTATGTTGGCATTTGTACTATCGCTCATATTTTTAAGCGCCGGCACAACATTTCACTACAAAGACCTGTCTATAGGGACCCGATGGCTGAACTATGTGTCGCCCACCCGTTGGGCCCACGAGGCGCTCATTAATTGGGAGTTTGACAACAACTCCACACTTTCGCCTCCATTCCTCTGCAGCCGTAACCCTATAGTCCAACAGCCGAACGCCATTCTCGTGAGAGCCGACTGTGGCTTCCAATCCAAAGCCAATGTATTGAAATGGTTTCGATATAAAGGTATTGCAAATAAAACACTTCTAAAGTCATTTAAAGTGTTTAAAGTGATTTAAAGTCACTTATAAAGTGTATTAAACATAACCCTAACATGTGTTTAGGCGCTCCACAAACTGGATCCTCTTTACGACCCATTTGGCACCCATTCGCTGCCTTCGCCGCTATTTTTGGCTTCTTTATGATCGGCGGATGTCTTTTGTTTTGTCTTTTGGCCAAAAGAAAATCGTTGGCAAATAAGACAAACTCTTAAGATTTCAATTCATACTATGTTTTAAAGATAATTAAAGAGTTTTCATGACTATTACAAAAGCGCACATTTATTTAGGAATTGAAGTTTTGTATAGAAGTGTAAGGCTTTGTGCCATAAACTGACACTTTCTTTAATTATTATGAAATAATTTATTTAAAATAACTAATCATTATATTCTATCCATTAAATTACTTGGATCATTAATTTAATTATTTCTTAATACATAAAATCTTTAAATAATCATTAATTCACAACTCACTGATGTTTAATAATTCATTTTTGTATTTTTAAAATTATTATAATTTCAAGTTATAAAATCATTTATGAAAATTATAAAATAAGAATTATGTATAATACAGTTGAAAGATCATTTTCATTCAATATATTGTAAATATTATTTGTAAATAAATTTAATAAATTCCAATAAATTAATATTAAAGTTTAATATTTATAATATCAATAATTCAAAATTGAATACATTTTACTGTCTGATTATTTACTTTATTATTATTTTTTCTAACTAATAATTTATTTATCTAACAATTATGTGATTACATTAATAAATATGACTCGTTTAATGTAAATTTTTATTGAAATACCCTAGTTTTATATAAATTATGGTGTTTATAACTCAGTTATAATAAATATTATATAACATAAATCAATTCCTCAAATATTTTATTATTACAATGAAATGCATTCAAAAATGCCGACAATAGTTGACCCAAAACTATAGTTCATGTTATAGCGTAACAGTAATACATTATAACAATAATTGAAGTCTAAATACATTTATACGAAAGGCTTAAGAATTTATAAATAAATATTAATAATTTGATTTCAGATGTATTTAATGAACAAGAATCAATAGTTTATTGTTCAACGTGTATACCGTATCAAGAAATATGCTGCACTTTAGACAGAAATGGGATTAAAACAAATGATTTGAAAATAACTCGAGTGTGCCTTAGATTATAATTTGGTTCATAGGAATCACTGTAATTCAGTGGTTGACACGCTCTCTGACCCTTCAATCAAACACACCTCACGACTAATTGGTGCTCTCAGATAACGGTGCTCTCAGATAACGGCCCACATTTCAGTGCTATTTATTTGTGTATCAATTTCATCAAATATATGGCCAGTCGCTAATTATATTATTTTACAAACGTAAAACTAAATTAGTAAAATGTAAAATGCAAGTTTTTATAATGTAATTGTTACTAAAAAAATACATACCAGTACATATTGTTAATATTTTAATTAGCATGAAGAATATTCACCAATTAATTTTCACATTTTCATCAAATACATTTAATTATAACTTTAATATTTGCTAGTACAGTAGTACTATAAAAATATTACAGTAATTATATAAGTTTCTAACTTATAATTTCAATGAATTTTGTTTTAAATATTAATAAATTTTATTATTTTCAACCTTATTCTCAAGACATAATATTTTAAAGTTAATTTTTAATAATTTTTATAATATTAAAATAAAAATAAAAAGCTTTTTAAAATGTCATAAATATTACATATTACTCATGCTAAATTGGATTATGCATTATGATGCTAAAGTGAAAAGTTAATTTATTTTTAGTTTATTAATAATTTACAAAAAAAACTTAAATTGATTCTATTTAAACAATTCCCACAAATATTTATAAAATAATTTTACAAATTAATCTAAATTGCAACATAAAAAATGGACACAACTTTAATTGTGGACTGAATTCAACAAAAAGTTTTACTTTATTTATCCAAAAATTATCTCATACTTAGTCTTTGTTTTGTTTATCTTTTATAAGAAAACATGAAACAAAATATATATCATTTAATTGTAAAATGTATAAAATAATATATTTTGCAAACTGAAACATAGAAAATGTGATAATAGTTTTATATATTTCATAAACAATATCTTTTTAATATAAAAGTAATATAAGAAATGTTCGCAAGATTTTCAAATCAATTGTTAAGGAAGTAGGAAGTGATTGGAGTTGATGTGGGTTATAGTGAATACAATTCATTCAATACAGCATTGAAATAGATTTCCCAATTTTATCCCACAAATACATTATTCATACAAATATAACTCTTAATTTAAATATATTCGCATTACATGTCAAATAATTTCATTTAATTTTTTTTGCTGTCAATTATAAATAATTCAAGCAATTAAACGCCAGTTAAATGAAAATGGTTTTTATAGGCATATAAAATGCATGTTGAATAATTATACATTTTAATTTACTATATCGACAAATAATAATAGCTTAAATATTGTAACCAATGAATAAATTAATAATTTTAAAATATTCAATAAAATAATTTATTAATATATGTATTTTATTGGATTTATTATGTAAACTTGCTTTAAAATGCATGTTTATTTATAATAATTTTTGCATTTTTAAAGAATCTTAAATATTTTTATGCAAATTCAAATATTTGAGTCTACAAATGTTATATCCTTATTTTTACAATAAATAATATCATTAAATATAAAAAATTGTATATACAGTACTAGTATAAGAATAAATTCTTATATTGTATAATACTGTACTATAATTTAAAATATAATTTAAATTCTTCAATTTGTTTGTTGAGGTCATTATCAAGTTTAATATATAAAAAACACCTATCATATACTAGTAATTACACCAATTTTCAATTATATACCTATGTCGTATAGAAAAATACTATAATATAATATTATACTGTTGTACTGTATATACAATAGTATAAGTTATTACAGTAAAAATATATACCGGTAAAAAACAGTAAATTTAATCCTAATAATTCATACAAAGGTTTGGGTCAAAAATGGTTAATAAATTTTATTAGAAATATTTAGTAAATTATCAGTTACAGCTTATGTGTTAACTAATAAATTAAATCTAATACCAAAAGTAAAGAATTATGTAATAATTGTAAGTGT